AACTCTGCAGTCCCATGGAGTATGCAACCCCATGGAGTATACAGCCCATGGAATTCTCCAGGCCAGCATACTGGAGGGGGTTGCCTTTCCCTTCTCCAGGGGATCTTCCCAACCAAGGGATCAAACCCAGATCTCCCGCACTGTATGCAGATTCTTTACTAGCTGAGCTTCTAGGGAAGCCCTACAAAATGATCCCTTTGCTGAAGAAATGACATGCAGAAAGTAACAGAAACAGAATTCAAATAGAGGCCACCCTTCAGGAGCCAATTTCAAACAGCATATTTTGCTTACACTTAAGAAAAAAAGAAGGAAACCAAAATCCTGCTCCTATGGATATCCAGGGCCGCCCAAATGAAACAGGAAGGCACAAATACTCCGGAAGGTCTGATCAGAGGTGCTCAGAGTGTCCCATGGGTGGTCGGCAGCCATTCAGCCACGTGATTTGTGTAGTCAGGATGCTGCAGTGCTTCTCCGTGTGAAGTCTCTGGGGCCTGCTGGACTCCATCTCATCTCTTCCAATAAGTCTGAGCCCCAGGAGGAGGCTCAGAGGAAGATGATGTGAAACAGACTTAGTGGGAGGGATGGCTTTGGTGAAGCTTGACTTTTTATAAGGTTTTATTTTTTATGTGATTTTTAAAGGTTACACTCCATTTATTAATGGACTATTAATACCAAATACTATTTAATACTATGTTAATACTATTAAAAGTGACTATTAATACCAAATATGGCTATATTCCCAGTGTTGTACAATACATTGTTTTTTGTTGTTTAGTCATTAAGTCTTGTCCAGCTCTTTGCGACCCCATGGACTGTAGCCTGACAGGCTACGTCTGTCCATGGGATTCTCCAGGCAAGGATATTGGAGTTGCCATTTCCTCCTTCAGGAGATCTTCCTGACCCAGGGATCCAACCCATGTCTCCTGGATTGGCAAGCAGATTCTTTACGACTGAGCCACCAGGAAGCCCAATACATTCTTATAACTTATTTTTAAAACATATTTATTTGTTTACTTGGCTATGAAGCCTCATTTACATGTGACACTTGGAATTTTTTGGGGTGTGTGTGTGTGGGTGTGTGTGTGTGTGGTGTGTGGGATCTAGTTCACTGACCAGGGGTCGAAACTGGCCCTCCAGCATTGGGAGCTCAGAGTCTTAGCTACTGGACCCCAGGGAAGTCCCCTTATAGCCTATTCTAGGGGTTCCCAACCTCTTTGGCACCAGGGACTGATTTTGTTCCATGGATGGGAGTGGAGGATGGTTTCGGGATGATTCAAGCACATTGACTGTGCACTTTATTTTTATTACTATTATTATGTCAGCTCCACCTCAGGTCGTCAGGCATTAGATCCCAGAGGTGGGGGGCTCCTGGCCTAGTCTACATCCAGTAGTGTGTGCCTCCCACTCCCCCACCCCTATTGTGCCCCTCCCAACTTTCTCCACTGGTAACTGCTAGTTTGTTCTCTATATCTGTGAATCTGCTGCTTTTTTGTTATATTCATTAGACTTTGTTGTCTTTTTTGGTTCCACATATAAGTGATGTATGTATTTGTCTTCCTCTGACTTATTCACTTAGCATAATGCCCTCTGAGTCCACCTGTATTGCAGCAAATGGCAAAATGTCATTCTTTTCATGGTTGGTAGTATTCCACTGCATATGTGTACCATATCTTTATCCATTCCTCTGTTGATGGACACTGAGGTTGTTTCTGTGTCCTGGCTATTGTAAATAGTGCTGCTCTGAACATCTGGGTGCGTGTGTCCTTCTGAATTAGTGTTTCTGTTTTTGTTTTAGTTTTTCAGATCTCTATGCGGGAGTGAAATTGCTGGGTCACATGGTAGTTCTATTATTAGATTTGTGAGACACTTGCATTCTGTTTTCTACAGTGGCATCACCCCTTACATTCCCACCAACAGTGTAAAGGGTGTTCCGCTTTCTGTAAGGCTTAACTTTTATCACTGCATAATCTTATGTTTATTGAAAAAACACTGAGAATCAAGGTTTAAAAAGAAGAAAACAACTGTGCTACACAAATACAGCCAGTGTTGAAGAGATGTACTTCCTTCTACTGGTATGTTTGTTAAAACACTGGGGAGACCTTATAAGTACTTTTACACGACTTATATTTCCCTGAACATAGTAGTGTGAGCTCTGTCTCTTTAAGTGTTCTTTGAAAGCATGACGTTAGTTGGGTTTATAATATACAACCCGGATATGATCGAAATATTTAATCATGCTTTGTCAGTCGTCAGTTTCTGACTATACACCATTATATAGGACAGTTTAAAGAATACCATAAGCTTGACACCTAGTGGTTCTTCTTCATAGATTCTTAAAAGAGCAAATGCTGAGTTGGTGTTTAAATATATTAAATGCTTTTAATTTTTTGTAACTTTATTTTTGGCTGTGCTGGGTCTTCGTTGCTGGGCGGGCTTTCTCTAGTGGCAGTGAGCGGGGGCTCTTCTCTCGTTGTGGTGCTCGGGCTTCTCACTGCAGTGGCTTCTCTTTTTGGGGAGCACAGGCTCTAGGGTGTGTGGGCTTCAGAACTTGTGGCTCCTGGGCTCTGGAGCACAGGGTTAATGGTTGTGGTGCACGAGCATGTGGGATCTTCCTGGATCAGGGACTGAACCCATGTCACCTGCATTGGCAGGCAGATTCTTATCCACTGTGCCACCAGGGAATCCCACGAAGTCAATTTAAAAACAAAAACGAAAACCTTGGTTCTTTTGTATTCAATTAGTGCTTTTAGGTATAATATTTTTTCCCTCAAAATCATACCTATGATATATTCCTGTGTTTTTTATTAAGCTCCAATCATATTTCCTTTAAAAATATATAACCTTATTTTTAGAGTTGCTATGTGGAGTGGCATAAGGCTTGTGCTTTCCTCTTGTCTAAGTAGACAGTTTCCTCAGCGTCATTTTGCGTGTGCATGCATGGCACTGCTTTTTATCATGTGCCTGATCCTGGCTGCACGTGGAGGCGTGAGAACACCAGATGCACAGAGATGCTTTTTTTCATGGCTCTTAAGTACAGTGTTTGTCTAACACTCCATACCAAAGAACTGAGGCATGCCTTCCTCAAAAAGGTTTGTATGACACTAAATTCTCAAAAGCTAAAAGCTTTAGTAACCAGGGATAATTTTTACAACAAGAGTGCTGCCTTTTTTCCTTCAGCTGAACACATTTATTTTGTTTGTTTTGGCATGTGGTTGACTCACAATGCTGTGTTACTTTCAGGCTTACAGTATAGTAATTTAGTTGTGCATATACATATATTCATTCTTTTCAGATTCTTTCTTGTGTAAGGTGTTACAGAATATTGAGTAGAGTTCCCTGTGTTATGCAGTAGGTCTTTGTTGATTATCTGTTCTATATATGGCTTGACTTCCCTGGTGGCTCAGATGGTAAAGTGTCTGCCTACAATGTGGGAGACCCAGGTTCGATCCCTGGGTTGGGAAGATCCTCTGGAGAAGGAAATGGCAACCCACTCCAGTACTCTTGCCTGGAAAATCCCATGGACAGAGGAGTGTGGTAGGCTACAGTCCATGGAGTCGCAAAGAGTCAGACACAGCTGAGAGACTTCACTTTCACTTTTCTATATATATTCGTGTGTATCTTATTTCTCCCAAATTCCTATTTTATCCTTCCTTCACATTTCCTATTTGGTAACTGTAAGTTTGTTATCTGTGAGTCTGTTTCTACTTTATAAATAAGTTCATTTGTATTGTTTTTTAAAATTAGATTCCACCTATAAGTGATATCATATATTTGTCTTTCTTAGTCTGACTTACTTCACTTAGTATGATAATCTCTAGATCCATCCAAGTTGCTGCAAATGGCATTATTTCATTCTTTTTTATGGGTGAGTAGTATTCCTGTGTGTGTGTGTGTGTGTGTGTGTGTGCGCGCGTGCATGCATGCATGCATGTGTGTATACACACACACATATTCTTTATTCATTTCTTGATGAACAGTTAGGTTGCTTCCATGTCCTGGCTATTGTAAGTAGTGCTGCTAGGAACATGGGAGTGCATGCATATTTTGGAATTATGGCTTTCTCTGGATATATGCTCAGAGGTGGGATTGTTGGATCACATGGTAGGCAAGAACATTGCCCTTTAATGCAACTAATATTCCACATTTATCTCAACCCACAAGTTTACCAAGGTCAGTTGTCAAGGTTATTGTCCTAGGCGAGTTCAGACTTGTTATTGATGAACTATCTAAGAAGCTCATCTCAGACCACAGAAGTTTTCTACTATGTCAACTTCAAATGAATTGATACTGCTGTGTAGTTGGATTCTCTGATTCCATCTTTTTTTTTTTTGCCTTGATTTTTTTACCTTCTTTTTGCCTTTTTAAAAATCAACTGAATTTTTTTAAAATTGGAGGATAATTGCTTTACAATGTTGTATTGGTTTCTGCCAAACATCAACATGAATCAGCCATAGGTATTCACATGTCTCCTCCCTCTTGAACCTCCCTCCCACCCACCCTGCTGATCCCACCCCTTTAGGTCATCATAGGGCATTGGGTTGAGCTCCACTTGTGTTAGACAGCAACTTGCCACCAGCTCTCTGTTTTACATAGAGTAAGTAGGGTATATGTTTCAGTGCTGCTCTCTCAGTTCGTCCCACCCTCTCCTCCTCCCCCCCCCCCACCGTCCACAAGTTTGTTCTCTGTGTCTGTGTCTCGCTTCCTGCCCTGCAAATAGGTCCAGCAGTACCATTTTTTCTAGATCCCATATATATGTGTTAATACATGGTATTTGTTTTTCTCTTTCTGACTTACTTTGCTCTGTATAACAGGCTCTAGGTTCATCCATGTCACCAGAACTGACTCAAATGTGTTTCTTTTTATGGCTGAGTGATATTCCATCATATATATGTACCACAGTTTATTTATCTGTTCATCTGTCAATGGACATCTATGTTGCTTCCATGTCTTGGCTGTTGTAAATAATGCTGCAGTGCTCCGATTCCATCTTTATTTTCTAGATTCCACAATTCCTTGGTCCTGGAGATTCTTTCTAAGTCTGATCCTGCTGGACAGGCAAGATGGCAGAATCAGACCACCTGCTGTGGTATCTAGAAAAGCTTAATAAAAAGGAATTTATGAGATGGAAGATCCACCTTGAACAAAAACATGTGGAGCTTGGACTGCCAGAGATCCCAACTTTTGATCTAAGGACAACCAAAGAAGACCTGGTCAACCTGTTGATGACCTCTTACAAGGCACAGCATGTCTGGAACATGATGTTCAGCATCTTTGAAAATCTTCTTCATAGAGCTCTCTGTGAGAAGATCAACACTGGGCGAAACTGTGAGCTAGTGGGGAGGGTTGGGGGCAGTTTTTAGGAAGCCTGATGGTTTTGATAAACTAAGAGAGCTGGTCTTCAGACCTGGAAAGCCATCAGAAGACCAGCGATAAACCAGATGTGGGTCCTGTCCTGTCCTGTGACTTTGTGATTCTGCCCAAGTGTCTTCCATCCTGCGTAGGAAAGTAGCCAGCCAAAGGATAAGACCCAGCCAAAGAGAGTGCTCCAGCTAGCGTAGATTCCAAGCCTAACACTTTGCACAGAACTGTAAGATATGGCCAGAGAAATCAGTTTGTTGTTCACTGACTCAGGCATGTCTGACTCTTTGCAACCCCATGGACTGCAGCACTCCAGGCTTCCCTGTCCTTCACCATCTCCCAGAGTTTGCTCAGATTAACGTCCATTGAGTCGATGATGCCATCTAACCGTCTCATCCTTTGCCGCCCCCTTCTCCTCTTGTCCTCAATCTTTGCCAACGTCAAGGTCTTTTCCAGTGATTTGGCTCCTCGCATCAGGTGGTCAAAGTATTGGAGCTTCAGCTTCAGCCTCAGTCCTCCCAATGGATATTCAAGGTCCTTTCCTCTGCCAGGGTGCTCAGGCAGCTCAGATGGGCGGGGTTGGGACCTGGTAGCTGTTTGAGTTAGCTGGATGCTGGACAGATCCTCCCGCCCCTCAAGCTCACTGCTGCTGGGAACAGGCAGATCAGTTATGTGCAGTCACAGCCTCAGCCCTGGGACAGCTCTCAGAGGCCAGCTGGCTTTTCTTCCTCCATCAAGTTCTGCGGTGATAGCAGAAGATCTATTCTGGCTGCCCTTGCCCTAGGGATAAAATTTTCTTCAGGTGTTTTTTTTTCACCAAGGGAGGTCTCATCTCTGTCTGAAAGTTTGTTTAGACTCACTTTTTTTTTTTTTTTTTTTTGAATGANCTTACTTTTTTTTTTTTTTTTTTTTTAGACTCACTTTTGCATTCCAGGTGGCGCTAGAGGTAAAGAACCTGTGTGCCAGTGCAGGAGATGTAAGAGACACAGGTTCAATCCATGGGTCAGGAAAATCCTCTGGAGGAGGAAATGACAACCCACTCCAGTGTTCTTGCCTGGGAAATCCCAGGGACAGAGGAACCTAGTAGGCTACAGTCCATGTGGTTGCAAAGAGTCAGACACAACTGAGCAACTGATCAGCAACAACAATGATGTACACAAATGAGAAAATCAGAGAAAAAAATAAATATGTAATTAATGGTTGATAGTCAAAGATCTAATAATTAGCTGCTTTGAGCCAGTTTATATCAGGAAACTATCTCCGGGACATAGTGAAGGACAGGGAAGCCTGACATGCTGCAGTCCATGGGGTCCAAAAGAGTTGGACACGACTGAGCTATTGAACAACAAAACCAGGAAGCAGTCTCAGAACTCAAGAATAATGACTTCATTTTACATAAAAATTTTCCTTTGATGTGTTATAACTAAAGGTTGTTGAAAAATGCTGTGGAACCTGAAAGGTGAAAGAAATAAGGTTTATCTTATGCAAAAATACTTGAGAAAAAAGCTGTTAAGTTCCGCACCAGTGGTGAAAGAGATCTGCAGCTTGTTATTTGGATCAATGTTACTTTATTTGATTCTACTGATGAAAACTAGGTTTTTGCAATCTTCTTTTAAAATGTTATAGCAAATATCTTGTACCTGTGTCTCTGTGATGAATGCTAAGTCGTGTATTTGTGATCCCATGGACCGTAGCCCACCAGGCTCCTCTGTCCTTGGGACTTCTGAGGCAAGAACACTGGAGTGGGTTGCCATTTTCTTCTCCAGGGAACTTCCCGATCCAAGCATTGAACCTGTGCCTCCTGTGTTAGCAGGAGGGTTCTTCTTCTTTTTTTTTTTTTAATCACTGAGCCGCCTTGGAAACCCTGTAAGTACAGATACTGGGTGTGTGTGCGCGCGCGTGCGCTTAGTTGCTCAGTCTTGTCCGACTCTTTGCAACCCCATGGACTGTATAGTCCATGGAATTCTCGAGGCCAGAATACTAGAGTGGGTAGCCTTTCCCTTCTCCAGGGGATCTTCGCAACCCAGGGATTGAACCCAGGTTCAATCCGCTGCACTGCAGGTGGACGCTTTACCATCTGAGCCACCAGGGAAGCCACTAGATTTTTGACGAAGGTTGAGTCTGCTATGAAATCTGTTTTCTTAAATAATGATGTATCTTGATGCCTGGAGAAGAATAGCTTGAATATTAATTTGGCCATTTGAACTATTGCAGGTTATATTGGCATTTATTATTTAGAGGTTTTCTCCCCCTCTCCCTCAACTTAGAATGTTGGAGGTGAAAACTACCCATGGTCTGCAGCAGATATCCTTGTCTGTCACTAGATGGCAGCCGAATGCAATGACTGAATCAGTGGCTTGCAGCTTCTTCTCAGAGTCTTGGGTTGTTTTCCTCCAAGGCTGTTAAAACTCCAGCTTCCTGGCCTCTTCAAAGAATCACAGCACTGACATCCAGGAGCCGGGATTAATTCTCTGTAAACAGACGATTTTGATCAAGACCTTCTCTGCCAGAATGGACAGTTAACTGTCAAGTGGTTTACACAGAGGTTAAACAGAAAGAGAAGTTACGAGACTGCAATGTGGCACAACTGTCGATGATACCCAGAAAGGGACGGCGCATCGACAAGGTGGAAGCAGAGGCAGCGAGGAGTGGTTCTGCTGGCGGGGTCTGTGGTAGACCGTGGCCTGGAACAGACTGGGCTGCTTAGAGGGAGGAGAGGGGTGGAGTGCCACTCCTCTCGGGTTTGCTTTGGGAGGTGTCCCATCTTCCTTTTACTGCCAGTGATCTTATTACCATGGAAAGAAATAGTCATACCTGTGGAGGGTATATGATATTGGACAGTGACATAGACATGAGCTCATGAATTTCATGTAAAAAGTGTCTTTCTCTGTATTTATAGAGGTAGAAATTGAGACAAAGGGAACTGAAGTTGCTTAGCAAAATTACTACCAATTAAGCTTTATTTTTTACGTTAGAGATTGACTATTCAATACATCTGGGATAGGAACCACGTGACTGCAGTTTTCCCTCCTCCTTCTCACTGGACAGCCCGTGCTCAGGAGGAGAGGCCGACAGGCGTGTCAGGGTCTGTGCGTTCACAGTGCTGGGATGCAGCAGAGCAGAGAGCACTTTTGAGAGAAGGCACGAGTGACTGAAACTCTGAAATCAGTTGAGAGGCTCAGAGAGGGGCTGCCTCTTTCTTAGGCAGAAGACATGGCTTCCGAAGCAGTGTGATTCCAAGGGCCATAAAATACCACCCTTCCACCCCCAGTAGTGTGATAACAAACAAGTTCTGGACACTTAGGGAACCAGGGTGCCTGGAATTCCAACAATGGAGATTCATTGTTTAGGCCAAGCTTTGCTTCCTCCGGAGTTTTATTTTGAAATGCAAATATCCCTATTGAGGCTAATCCTGCCATGTGACAAGGCGAGCTCCTCTGGGCAGCTGAGCCTTGATTGAGGAGTCAGGATGGGGTGGGAGGTGACAGCAAAGAGAGGAGTTAAAAAGTGGGGAGACTTGGGACTGACCCCATACTTGGTTGATTTCCCAATTTGTTTTCACAGTGAAAATCTGGACCTGCAATATCATCTGACGTGGAGAGTCCTGAGAGCTTGACTTCCATCAGTTGAACGTAACTGGGGAGGAGTTGTTTTTCTTCTTTATGATTCCCTTTGGTCTCCCCTCATCAGAGGCTCTGGTTAGGACAGGTGTGGGCACTGCCTGTCCAGAGGGCCACTCAGCTTTACCCAGCAGTGTCAGGCGTGAGTTCTGTTCGCCCTGAGGCTGGTTGCTCCAGGAGGTGCTGGCTTCCTCTCCCTCCTGGAGACACACATGATTTCCTTGAAACACAGACCACACATTTCTCATCTGTTATTAAGGCAGAATCCTGAGCAGAGAACAGTCCTGAGGTTTGTACGTGCTGCATGAGAGGCACATAAATTCTTCTGATGCCAAGAGTGAACTCCTCTTTCCCTTTTCTCTTTCCCCTCTTTTATTATGTAATTGATCAGCAGCATTGATCAGAAAAAATATGCCTTGTTGACCATATTCTTGGTTGAAGATCAAGGGTGTTGATTTTCTGTCCATCAGTACCTGCAGCAGGTGCTAACTGGATGGGGCAAACCTGTTCAATGTGCCACCGGGTGGGCCCCGGACAGCCACACCCTTGAATGGTGTCCAGCCTCCTCTTCCCCTCCAGCACGCGTTTCTCTTCTCAGCCTGGATTTTGTCACTATTGTGAGAAAATTTTCCTTTGAAAGATAACTGTGTCAAGGCTTCTAGGGTTTTAGTTTTGAGTGTTGATGTATTCCCCTTTTTAATGTCGTTCTTTGTGTGTGTTTGGTCTTGGAGATGGGCCTGTGTTACTTTCACTGTGGTAAGCAGTGCTTGTTATGGTGTGGGGGGAGGTCCAGCATTTGTGGACAGCTGGCTGGGAAGTGCGTGAGGAGGCCCTGGCTCTGGGATCTGGGAATCCCAAGTCAGCCCCTGCTGTGGAGTGACTGAGCTGCCCTGTGACCGAGGGGCACTCTAGACGGCGGCCCAGTTGACTGGGAGAGTCTAGTCCAACCTGGCCTTTGCTCTGGTAGCTTTTCTAGGTCCCGGTTTTTATTGAGGTTTCTCAGACACTTAACTGAGTAGGCTCCTTTCCCATGACATCTCCCCTCTTTCCTGCTTTTGCCTGATGTTGCATTATAATGGCGCACTGTCTTATGACTCTTGGGGATTGGGCGTCTTCATCTGTCCTTCTTGCAACTACTTCAGTTCAGTCCAGTTCAGTCACTCAGTCGTCTCTGACTCTTTGTGACGAATAATGAGTTTTTTGTTTTTTTTTAGTGAGACCAAAAAGTTGGGAATGTCTTCAGATGATTGACTGATCTGACCATCAGCGTACACGGAAGTGTTGAGAGAAGGAGTGAGGACTGTTCCTGCTCCCTTGAGATTTTACAAATGGAATCACCAGTCACCTAATGTACATTATGTTGCTGTTCCCCACCCACTGACAGGTGGTGTTCAAGGTTCCCTGGGCTTGAGGGGTCCATAAGTGCTGTAGATTGAATCAGTGTTGAGAGTGTGTCCTGGGACCTCTTGGGGGCCAGGACCTCGGGTTGCCTGCTGTGGACTGAATTCCCCACCCCTCGCCCCCATTCCTCTGTCAAAGCCCTAATCCCCTGGGGTTAGTGCCCTTATGAGGAAAGACCCCAGAGAGCTGGCTTCCTCTCTTGTCACCACTTGAGGACACACAAGGCTGCTATCTCCACACCAGGAAGAGAGTCCTCACCAGACTTCTAGCCTCCAGAACTGTGAGAAGATTTCTGTTGAGCCCCCCAGTCTAAGGTATTCTGTATGGCAGCCCAGGGAGGTTCGGACTACCGTGTCTGCAGAGGAACACGGTGATTTGGTCAGTAGGCTGTCTATTTTGGGGGCTGGGTGAGTTTGGTTAACCCCTCTAGGTATGTGTACTGGGGACTTCTGTGGGCTCACAGTCACAGTCACAGGCACTTTTCTTACTTCTGGTTGGACATACCAAGTTTCCTCCCCGCTCTGCCCTGTAGACTGTTACTAGACCCTGCTAAGAAAAAAGATCCAAGGAATTCAACTATTTTCTTGAGATTTCTGTATATCTTGGAAAAAACAACAACAGCAACAACCCAGTCAATCAATGACCATTTATCAAAGCGCCTTCCTGTGCTCTTAGCGAGACTCTTTTATGGCCGAAGACATATGTAATTTTCAGCTCAAGAACCAGCAGGGTAAAACCTGGAATTCCAGATCTCTTATCAGGAGTTGTAACAAGTCTGAGATTGTACCCTGCTTGCAAGTTAACTGGTGAGCCTGCTGCAGCATTACGGTTGCTGGCATGAGACGCAGGCGTCCTGGCTCCGTGGAAGGACTTTGTTCTCATAGCAGTCTCGTGTCCAGAGAACGAGCATTTTCTTGGACAGGTTCAGTGTGCATGGCCGGGGACACCATGTAGCCGGCTGTGTTACAGGAGAGGAGCCATCAGGGTGCCTGAATTTTACAACGAGCAGTCAGAGAGCAAGTCTGTCTCTGCCTTCCAAGGCTGTTCACTATATGAACATCCTTGAAACAAAGTCCAGAGCAAAGGCCGACAGTGCCTCTGCTTACCAGGTGTGCAGAAATGTGAGAGGCCCATGAGGAACTCCTGCGTCTTTCCCCAGGGCTCTGCGTTGACCCCTTGGTGGAGTGGCAGGTGGTGGTGGGTTAAGTCCTTGTTGATGGACCATTTGAAGCCTGGGACTCGACAGGGATGGTTGGGTAGACACATGCTGCTGATCTGTGCTGCACTGAGGGCACTTCCTGGGGTATCAAGGTTGCCTGCTGGACATTTTCTTGAAGTTGATTGCATTGACTTGTGGATTCATGTCTCATTTTGAGTTATGGGAGGGGATTGCTAGGAGAGGGAAACACTCTGCTCACAAGGTTTCTCCCCTACAGAAAGAAATTTAAGTTAATCTAGTACATGTTTATTGGGCATTAACAGCACACAGGGAAACTGGGGACATAGAGGGGCAGAGGGCATTGATGACATCCTGGGTCCACGCCCTCTGGAAGCATTCATCTGACAGGGAGGGGTCGTGGCACTGAGGGAGGGCAAGCCCTGCAAACGTGAGATGGGTAGCTAGGAGACAAGACTTGTGTGCCTACAGCTGGGGTATATTACTTAATGTTGAATAACAAAGTACCCAAGATTAGTGGCTTAAAAGAACATTTATGACCTTGGTTTCTGTGGGTCAGGAATTTGGTGGTGGCTTAACTGAGGAGCTCTAGCTCATGGTTTTTCATCTTCGAGTCCAGATGTCAGCCAGGGCTTTGATCATCTGAAGGCTTGGCTCGGGTTGGAGGATCTGCTCCCAGGGGAACAGATCCCAGGAGGATCTGCTCACATGGATGTGGGTGGGGGATCCTGGTTCCTTGCCAAGTGTGCCTTTCTACTCACTGTTTGTGTCTTTTCACAAAATGGCAGCTGACTTCTCCCAGAGTGAATGATCCAAGAGAGCTGCACATCAGAGGCTGAAGTATCTTATGACCTGCCCTCCAAAGACATCATCATTTCTGCAATGTTCTGATTGCACAAGCCAGTACTGCTCAACACCAGGAAACGGAGATCCCTGGCGACAGTTGGGGAGGCTGGCTACCACAGGGCCGGCAGAGGGACTGCTAGCAGAGGGCCTGGGACTGGAGAACAGAGCCCTCAATTTCCCTACTTTTTCTTTTATTTCTTTTAATTTTAAAGATAAAATATGCATAACATATTTCTTTAAGAAAATTAGAGATACCAAGGGTACATTTCATGCAAAGATAGGCACAATAAAGAGCAAAAACAGCAAGGAGCTAGCAGGAGCAGAAGAGATTAAGAAGAAGTGGCAAGAATACACAGAAGAACTGTACAGAAAAGCTCTTAATGACCCAGATAACCACAATGGTGTGGTCTCTCACTAAGAGGCAGACATCCTGGAGTATGAAATCAAGTGGGCCTTAGGGAGCATTGCTGCAAACAAAGCTAGTGGAGGTGATGGAATTCCAGCTAAGCTATTTCAAATCCTAAAAGATGATGCTGTTAAAGTGCTGCACACAATATGCCAGCAAATTTGGAAAACTCAGCAATGGCTGTAGGCCTGCTGAGTTTACATTCCAACCCCAAAGAAAGTTCACATTACCATACAATTGCACTCATTTCAAATATTAGTAAGATTATGCTGAAAATCCCTCAAGCTAGGTTTCAGCAGTACGTGAACTGAGAACTTCCAAATGTTTAAGCTGGATTTAGAAAAGGCAGAGGAACCAGAGATCTGCTGAATCATGGGAAAAGCAAGGGATTTACATGAATACATGTAAATCCATGGCTAATTCATTTCAATGTATAACAAAAACTACTGTAATGATGTAAAGTAATTAGCCTCCAACTAATAAAAATAAATGGAAAAAAAATAAAAA